GCTCGCATGAAAGACAGCAAGAGAGAAACATGCTCTCAAAGGAGCTGTCTGCTGGCCACCAGCCGGGCTCCTGAGAGCACCTCTCAACCATGGCAGCTGTGGGCAAATGTTCAGTACTTTCAGTTTCTTAGAAATACCTGGGGGTTGACATTTTTATTTCTTATTTTAGAACTACCTCCCTCTCCTCTCTGGAAAATACTCCTGTGGCATATATGATGTCCAATGTGGGAAGTCATTCCTTTTCTTGCCTCGTGCCCCACTTCTGCCTTAGGATGTAGAGAGATTTCTGACTGTCCAAAGCTGTATTTTACATGAGGGTGCTGTGATGAGGATCTGCTTCTCTCCCCCATGTGCTTTGTAGAGAAGGGTTCTTGTTTGTATTGGTGCCACAACACAGATATCTGCACCAATCCCAATCTTGCAAGCATCAAGATGTATCCAGGCCACATTGCTTGCATGCAATCAGTCCTTGCTAAGGTTGGCTGCATTCTACAAAGTACGCAAAGCTCAAATACAGCGTTTTAGTGGTTACTGACTTCTTTCAGAGGAATGTGGTACTTGCTTTCCACCCCAAACCCCTCGCACTGTGCTTTGCCTTGCCACCTCAGAGGCACTGTGTCCATATGGTGAGGAACTCTTGGATCTATGAGCAGGGGGAGCAGCTCTAGGAGTGTCCACAGCTGTCAGCTCAGGAGAGAGACTGGACCACCTCTTTCCTCTTAAAAGATGCTTGGTGGTGCCACGATTCATGGCATAGTTAACAGAGAAGTTAATTTCTCTGTTAGTATCATGATTATTCTAATTTGATGAAACTAGGTCTGTGTACCTAGGCCCTTACACAACAGCAGACTGAAAAGGAAATTAACTCAGGGATTTTTTCCAATTAATTGTTATGCCCTCATGGGCTGCAGATGTTCACTGCAGAAATTGGGAGATAACCATGAGGTCCCTTGTTTCCCACAGTGAGACTGTGAGAAGCCTCCTCTGTTTCACATCTTTGCAGTGACTTTACAGAAATTATCTGGGTTTTGACTGGGTATATTCAGAGAGTGCTCATGGCAAAGGTGGGAGTAAACTCACAGTAGCAGTGATCCTCTCCCCAGATTGGTCTTGCTCAGGATCAGTTCCTCACTTTTAGTATATCCAAGGATATTGCAGACTGATCCACAATCAATTCCACATGAAAGATCCCTATGGATCTCTGCAGGACTGTCAGGCCCTCTGTCTTATGTAGCAGATTGAAAGAAACCCAAAGAAAATTTGAGGAGGATCTTCCTTGCTGTGCTATGCTTCTACCTGACACCTCCAGTCCTTCTCAGAGCTCAGCACTCAAAACACCCATGCAATGTTGTAAAAACAGCATCTCCTTGTCCTCCCTGCACCTGGTTTGTGTTGTACTATTAATTCAGAAACTATTAATTCATGTCCTCTTGCTCTCTTTGAGCCAGTCCTTACTATCCCACAGCAAGAGCCCAACAGAACTGGCATGGGCCTCAGTTTCCATGATTCAGGAGAGTCACTGTACACACAGCCCCAGCTCCAGGCACCATGAGAAAGCTTCAGACCAAAGGTCAGTTCCTAATTCATGTGGTTGCAGACAAATCTGGATAAAAAGAACCAGAAAGGCCAAAGCTGAAGATGAAAACAATCTGTAATTTAAAAGTTGAAACACGAGACTTGGTGCAGGCTGGCTAATGAGTTCTGACCCCAAACAGCTGGCAGTTTGGAGTCATAGTCACCTCTCCCAGTCACCTGCTGCTTCTTGTTTTCCCTAGGAGGAAGCATGGGAGGATATTCCCCAGAGGGTCAGTGTCTGACCCAGCTACTCAACCCCACAGCTGAGAGAGCCACTAGCACAGGCAGGAAGTGGCACATGGGCAGAGAGGAGCACACAGCCTCTGTGCCTCTCCCTTCTGCAAGTCATTGGGGAATTTGCTCAAGTTCCTCTGAATCAGGACAAATCCTAGAGACCAGAACAGGGCCATTTCATAGGTGTCCTTGATGGTAACCCACATTCCCCCTCAGGGATAAAGAAAATCAGAATGGAGCTATGCCTTGTATAGCTCTGACTTCCAAGCTTCAACTTTCCACTGGCTGACTGTGCAGAGTCCTCCCTGCATGCTTTTCCAGCCTCTGCAGGACTGAATTTCTGTGTTCTTAAAGGCCCAGGTTGGAAAAGCACCAAGCATCTGCAGCCAGCATGGAAAGAAGGAGCTTGGCTTCCCCTGGAGTTGGGCACAGGTTACTGGTCGTGTCTGTGACTTAACAGCAGAGATGAGTGAGGCAAATCCTTGGAGGCAAGAGAAAACCTATCTCGTAAAGTGGCATTCCCAAGAGGAGGCAATCCAGATGAGGAATGTTTTTTTCTGGGAGTGAGATCCAGCCAGGCAGCCTAATGGAGGGAATAACACTGTGGCCATTGGACTGCAATTGCCTCAAAGGGCAATGGCAGCACAACCAGCAGTAATTTTTGTTGGACAGCTCATGGTTTCTGCACAAGACAGTTGCACTACATGACCTTAAAAAGGTCCCTTCCAACACAAATGATTCCATGATTCCAGGATTAATGTCTCTGGAGTGTCCAAAATACTTCTGCAAAATAGATATCATGTCCATCAGCTAAGTCTGTTTTAGCAGTGTTAAGTTGCACAAGATCAAGTGGGATCAGCATACCACAACCCCCAGGAATGACAAAACCAATGAAAAGTTGTCATTTTGGGAGGTTAGAAAAGACATTATTACTGCTTGGATCGAATTGTGACAAAATAAAACTTGTAAAAGATACAGATAAGGTATTTTGCCTTTTGTGGAGGTAATAGAAGTATGTACAGATACAGTAGAAGATTAAATTTACTGTTTCAGTAGAGAAGCAGATCAGTAATGCTTTAGGACAAAAACCCTATTACCTAAGGCTGGTACACAAAACTAAACTTCACAGGGAGCAATTTAGTCCTAATTGCATATAGGAGTTTTCTCACTTCCTTGCATGGATCAGCTCTGGCCAGACAAAGGACAGCAAATAAGGTGAATTTAACATCTGAATTTAGGTGAGTCATTCCTATTTTATAATTGCAGTTTATTTTACAAACTATATGGTGTTCAGACCTCCTAAAGTGAGACTTGAGTCCTTTAAAACTGATTTGTTCCTCAAGAGGGACTTCAAAACCTCTGTTCCAGTTATTTATAGCAGCCATTATAAGTCATTTTAATTGACTGAAGTTCTTTATTCCCACAGGAGGGACTGAAAGTGTGCCTGTGAGTACCCCTGCAACACAGATTTCGCAGGTAAAGATGAGCAAAATGCCCTCAATAACTCCAAGAGTTTAAAGAATTAGTAATATATAAACAGTAGTTAAAAAAGCTAAATTAAGTTGAAGGAAAACTGTAGGCATTTACAAGGAACATAGCAACCACAACATGCCCACTGCATGAATAAATATCACGCATCTTGGGCCTCATCTTAAAAGACCTTTCAGTAAAATTTCTCTGCTCACAAGCAGTTGTATTTAGAGAGGTGATTTGTGAGCTCAGCTAATTAAGCAACTGACATCATTAGCACCAAGCAGAGAATGTCAATTCACTGGGCACGGGGGAGATTTCATGACTGAGCTCTGATGAGCTTTCAGCAAACCTGATGAACTGTCCAAAGAGCAAGGATGTGTTGACTGACAAGGGGCAGGGGTGTCTTATGCAGCAGGGGCCCAAGTCTTCTGTGGGCCTTTGGGTTATCCTGGCAGCCTCCCAGCTGCCATGGGGTGCTCTTGCCTGATAACCCAGAGCAGCCAGAGTGTTCAGTCTTTCTGCATGTCTTTGTCTGGCCGCCCGACCAGAAGCTTGGAAACCCTGGTGATCAGTTCCTCCTGAGCTCTGTACCTTGTCTTTGGGGTAACATTTTTGCTGCAATTGGACACCACAGATGCTGTAAGGTTATCTATTACCACAGCTCAGGGAGTATCTGTCCTGTAAAATGCAGTTTCAGCCTTTCCACAGTGATGTTTCCTATGCATTTCCAGTCTGCTGGAAATGTGACAGAGTTTTAAGCACTTTAATCCTTGGTCTGGTTCAATATGGAACCGTAATCTGAGAGAGGAAACACAGCCCTGAAGTGGAAAGCCAGACTACTGAAGACCTCCCTTGTCACCATTGCAACACTAATGCCTGTAATTGCTTGCAGTGCAACATGGCAGGAGGAGAAAGCACTGCTTTCCATGAACTACCCAGCACTTCGGTCATCTCATCCTCTTTTCCCATCCATCCAGCTCCAAGGGTCCAGCACAGTGCATCCAACATGCACGTGTACTGGAAGCACCATGCACACATGTTGCTTTCCAGCTGACACCTGGGTACCTTAGTGAATCCTTAAATATTTGTCAGTCACCAGCTGGGTCTTCCCTTCTGCTTCAGCAAGGGCCCTGGATGATGCAGTTACCAAAAGGGGCTGCACAGCTGTGGAACAAGGGCTGATGAGTACTTCATGCTCCCTTTAAGTCATCGCTCTCTTCTGTTGCTCACCTACTCTGCTGTGCTGACTGTTTTCCTGCCATCCTTGCCTAGGAATATATATGCTGGATATACTCCTAGGATCAGCTTCTTTACCACTGTAAATCACTGCTGCTTTCCTGCTATGAGGCATTGCAAGCCTTCCTAATGCTTGGCTGTAGGAGTGCTGCCCTTAAGCACAGGAATTAGCTGTTCTAAAAATTAGTTGTTTCCTTGTAAAAGCATGCATCAGGCAACTCAGAAAAATCAGATCCAGGGCTTGTGTGAAATGCTGGACTTTGTGCCAGATTGGTTTCAAGCAGTGTCCTCAGGCAGCCCTCCTCTGAGACACAATGTCTAGTTACTTCTTCAGACCAGCCCCAGAAAGATGTGCAGTGATAGAAAGTTGGGGAAGCACACAGACAGTACTCCTTCATGGCTACAGAAGGTTTTGCTCTTTTCAAGGATATATATATATATATTTATAATAGCAGAATTGTTTTGTGCAGTATTGTGCAGTATTTCTTTATCAGAGCCTATTTTCTACTGGTTTTGACAGGCTTCAGCTCAAGGTCCCAGACAGCAGGTCCTGTTCTGGTGTAAAGATTTAGGCAGCTGCCAAGGGTGCAGATGCAAATGGAAGTCCCTGTGGAGACAGAGCCCTGGCCAGTGCTGGGGGAAACCTGTGGGGACACAGCTACTCAGAGAAGCAAGGGCTCCCTCTCATTCTTTCAGTGGCAGCCAGGACAGTGACCCAGTTCACCAAGGCTCTGCTGCCCTCTTTCCATCCCACTCCTTCCTTCCATAAACCATCTCCATCTGCTGTCCACAGCCATCTTCCCTGGGCTGCTTCAAAGCTTTAACAAAGCTTTAGGCTGCAAGGACCATTGTTATCTTTTACAAATGTCTCAAATTGCTGGTACCCACCAAGAGAGAAGGGGGGAGACTCTGCAGTTTTGCTGACTCGGCTCCAGGAAGCAGCTTCAGTGCTGTGCACCCTTTGTGAACAGCATGGGTTTTCCACACAGAGCTGAAAAACATAAGGGCAGCAGGTGCAATAGGAGTCATGGGGTCCAAGAAAGACGTAACCCACTACAGACACATGGCATTGGATGCCTCACTGCTTTGCTTTTTCAGGTTTGAGGGCCACAGTCCAAAGGCAGATGGGCACTGAAATCTGTACCTGGTACTAAATTATTTAGATGCCTAAATGCTTTTTTTGAACAGTTGTTGGACAGGTTCGAGGACTCCCTATGACTGTGCAGATTCATTTATCCTCTAGGCATTAGTTCAATTTAAGCTATAGTTTCTTAAATTCCACTACCTAAGTGTTAAATTACCTCTTTGCTCCCGTGAATAAGTGAGCCAGGGCAACACATTACAGTTTAACTGTTGCTGTGTTACACAATCTGTCTTTTTGGTATGTGTTGCACTTAGAAACTTTAGGAACACAGAGTTGGCTTGACTTTCCAGAGGGTCACAAACCTGTGAAGTTCCTCTCTGGTCCTGTAGGCATAGGTCAGCCCTGTGGAGACAGAGCCCTGTCACCTGGGCAAGGCATGGGCAGGGCCTGATACCTCAATGGCTTCCATCTGTTTTAACAGCTTATGGGATTTAAAGGATGGTTTTCTACAGCTTGCTTTTAGAAATGAGCGCAAACTAAAATCCATGGTTAACCATGCTTGGCAAGAGTTTAACGATAGTGTGCTGTTCCTGTACCACTTTACTTGATTTTGGATCAGCTCTGCATCCAATGCAACAAGAATGTATTTCCTCTCTATGCTAACCCTGACCTGCTCATGGTTTCAGCACTTCTTGCTCCATCATTCAAGCTCTGTGGCTGGTTGGTGTTTCTGGCTGCATTCATCCCTCAAGCAGCAATACAAGGATGCATTTCAGTGTCTGAAACAGCCACTGCAAGCTGCATGGGGCTGAGGAAGGATATATGGGGCAGGACAGACTCAGGCTGGGCTCTGGAGCACTGAGAGGGATACACAAAAAAATTAAGCTAGCACTGTCACCACAAAAGCAGAGATTGGCCAAAAAGCAAATCCCAAAATAACAGGTCACTGTCTGCTCTTAGATGCAGAGAATATTTTGTCCAGGCTCTAATCTAAGTCTTTCCTTATTTTGGCTGAACTCTGCTTTCATAGAGTGTTTCAGTGCACATGGATGCCAAAGTCTCTGCAGTGGTCCATTTTCACTGATGCTTTGCAATTTCTTACTCTGAAACCTCAAGATCAGCAATGATTCCTATCCCTATACCCTTCAAAGGATCCGTGTAGTTTACCCCCTTTCTGGAAGCATCTGAGGGGGAGATGGCCAGACTTGTGGGAAGAAACATTTCATTTTAAGCTTATTCTCCCCAGACCATGTTATCTCCAGGGCCAGCTCCAGCACTGCTCCACTGCTAGCAAAACCTGGGGCTGTGATATCTCCATCCTGAAGCAGATCTCTGAAATGGTTAGCATAGGTTACAATGGAATAGCATATTGCAGTTGGAAGGGACAGCTCTAGCAAATCAACCCTTTTCACTTGGAAGGCAGTGTGTGATGCCCAGCCCTGATGCAGGCTGGCAGACTGTGCCTTGGTCACATCTGCTCAGGGGGAAAGTGTGTCAAGCACCTGTGAGCAGGGTTGGGAATATTAACATTTTGCACAGTCACAGTACTTTATAACCCTCCCGCCCCCTTCTCCAGGCGCATATCTTAGGATGTCTGATGATGCCATGACCATCTGGGCTGAGATATCAGAAGTAGTGTGGTCAGTGTCTGCCCTGAGCAGCCCCTCTAACCTTTCAGGCTATATTCACAGGTCACAGGGTGACACTGTGGCCAGAAGGGGTGGGGAAAAGGGTTTAGCCAAGGAGTCTGGAGCTCCAGCTGGCTTGGGGACTCAGGTTGTCATCCTGATGAAGGAAGGTGTCCTCGGCCTCCTGCTCCCCTCTGCACTGTCCCGGTGCCTGTGGTTCCTGTCAGTCCTGCTCCTCCTACCCAGGCACTCTGGAGACGTGTGTCCAGCCAGATCAGAGTGGGGGCTGTGGGGTGAGCACTGGGGTAGCAGCGGGGATGGCAGGCAGACATCCTCTGTAAAGACACTGCCAGTCTTGACCAGAGGGGCCTGGTGCATGCCATTGCCCCGAGGTATCGGAAGCCATCTCTGCTCCATTTGCAGGACTCAAGCGCCTGAGTTCCCGGGGTGGCTCTCCGCTTACCACCAGTGCTCCTGTTTTGGACTCAGTTTATAACCAGATGTTAGGCCGAATTTCTGTTGTAAAGGTAAAAACCTCTGTGCCGAAGCGCCTCGGGCTGCGACCTCGCTGTGGGCTTTGCGCAGGCAGGACGAGTGCCTCGCTCACAGCCGTGGGGGCAGAGTCCAGCGTCAGCAGCCAGAGCTGCTCCCAAGAGGGTGTTCCCTGCTTAGCTCTCCGCCAGCTGCTGATCCCCCCTCACTGCCCACCTCCACACCAGCCCTGTCTGCTTGCTCTGCCAGCCTGGCTTGCGCCAGTCCATCTCCTGCTTCACCCGGCTATCACTGGCTGCCTCCAGCTTAGGTGGTGAGCTCTTCCAGCAGCACCAGGGCCTCTAGGGACAGAATATAGAGAGTGGGCACAGCATCACTGTATGCCAGGGAAAAAACTCCTGTTCCCTCCCCAGCACAAGTTAGAGCTGCCTCCTTCCATGGGAAGGGTCTGTGGTAAAGGACAGAGCTTCTCCACAGCCCTTGGAGAGAGAGGGTTTAGACCTGTGTGGGGAGAGTACCAGGCCCACGAGCACATGTGGGAGGAGGACTTGCTCCAAACCAGACACGTTCTTGATTGCTCACCTGCTTTGGAGATTAATAATCTGGCTGCTGTTATTGCAAACCTTCTTGGCGTGTTTCAGGCTGTCCTCTCCTACTACAGGCTGCAAACTGCCAGGGAGCCTGGAAAAACTCAAAAAAGTTTTTTAAAAAAGACTAAGAAAGGGGCACATGGATTGCCCAAGACAAACACCTCCTACTCTGTACTGAGGCTGCAGCAGGGGCCGAACCTCTCCCCATGTTTCCCAGCCATGAAAGGAGGAGGAGAAAGAGCACAGCACCTTACAGAATGGGTTAGACCCAGCCTTTGTGACCCTAGGGGACACAAACACCTGAGCCTGGGAGGAGGGACTGAACCCACCATGTTTGTGGTTGCTGTAGTTGCAGGCACTAGCCTCTGAGCTGAAGGCAGGTTTCACAGAAGCAATGCAGGAGCTGTCACGCATCCAGCATGGAGAGTATGCCCTGGAAGAGAAGGTCAAGAGCTGCCGCTGTGCCATGGAAGAGAAGGTGGCTGAGATGAAGAATTCCCTCAACACTTTCAAGGTAGGAGTGTGACCTGTGGGGAGGCTGCATGCTTTCCATGTGAGCTTGACTGGCAGAGGGAAGCATTCCCCTGCCTCCGTCAGTGCTCCCTGTTTGCAAAGAAAATGAGTGAGGAATTGTTTTGGATACACCTGGGGTACTTCCTTTGGCTTTGGGTCTCTCCTGACTGCTCAGACTCACAAGTAACCCATACTCTGGCCTATTTAGCCTTCTTGGCTGGCCATGGTGCAGTGCTGAGATTTACCTGGGCACAGAGCAGCCCTTGCTCTGGGCTTCACATGCCATGGGTTTATGGCCTGTTCATAGGCTACTGCTGGGCCACTGTCCCACACCTCTCCCTAGGTCAGGTCTCCTGCATTTCCTGCAGGAACCAAAGCCACTGGAGAGCAGCAAATCAACACAAAACCCTAAAGCCTTTTGAAGTCGCATTTCCACATGGCTGGAAGGAAGTGCTGCCTGGTTTGATCTGGCCCAAGAGGATAAAGACAAAGGTCTGGAGAGACAGCCAAGCAAGAAGGCTTAAAGTACACTTTAAAAACAGTCGGTGTCTCCATGCAGAAACTGGATGACGAGGCAGGCAGAGGAACTCATTTATTGTTTTTATTGCAAATTTTCCCCTGGGGGTTTTGCTGAGTCAATAATACCTTGTGAAGCTAAAGAGGGCTGCTTACTGAAAAAGCCCATTGCTAACCCTGTGACAGGGAGACAGATGGCACCAAGCAAAAGGAGCCCTTGGTGCCAGATGAGCAAGGAAGACAACAAAAGGGCAAGGGCATATGGGAGAGGTCTCAGAGCGACCAGACACAGGGTTACCCAGGACATTGTCATATGGGAAAAGGGGATTTAAAATGCAGATATAAAGAATTATGCAAGCAACAAAAGGGGCAAATGCTGCTCTGCCTCTGCCTCATGCCCATGTTGGCTATTCAAGCACTGAGCTCCCAGTGAAGTCACCTCCTTTCTTGGGGGAAATCCTTTGGTTTACATGAAACTTTTGAGTATTTATCCTCAATCCTGCTGCTCACATTCATGGAACCTGCAGGAACTTCATGCATCAGAGCTCTACATCTGAGTAAGGCTTGGCTCAAATTGCTTGAGGGAGTGTGGAGAGGGAGGATATGGAGGGCCTCATTTCCATAGGAAACCAGGCTAAAAGGGCAGATCCATGGTCTGACTGGCAAAAGCTTATACATGTGAGTGCTCACACTGGGATCTGAACCAAGTGCACCATGTGAATACACATGCTGGAAAACTGCAGGGGGAAATGTGCTCCTGAAGGCCACCTCCAAATGCCATTAAGGGCAGGAGCCTCCCAGTGCTTTCAGCTGGTGGTGGATGAAGCCCTGAGTCTAATCTCCAACCAGTGCCTGGATCATGTGGCACCATGCTGCCTTGGGCGAGCTCTGTAGAATTAAGGATCCCCACGTTGTGCAGGCACGTGTCACACATCCTGGACTCGCAAGGGAAGTGTCTCATCACAGAGCCACTCCCCACAGCACCCTGGAGCACCTCTTGTGCACACCAGCCAGCACTCAGAGCTGTGCCACGTAAGGCTGATGGGCACCCTGGGAATGCTGTGCTTTTGCCTGTTTCTCAGGAGGAGCTCAGCGATGCAAAGTCAATGATTGAAGAAATCAGTGCCAAGCAGGAGGAAATGCAACAGAAAATTGAGCAGCTGCAGCA